CACTCTTTCTATAAGGCTTTGTTCTACTCAAATAGTTCACATAAATGACAGAATTCAATCCGGCAAGCCTTCATTGTACAAGCAATCCTAAATCACATAACTACTCCAACTCAAGTCACGCACAATCAAAGATTCATGACAGATTTGTAGGATAGGGTCCCTGCTGTTCTATGTATGGGCCACCATCGGTTTTTGGGTAACAATTAAGTCTTGCTGAAAATACATACATCTGCGTGAGGGTCTACATGTCTAGGTGCCAAACATGTTTTACTAAGAGTTTTAAGACTTTTTGCTCAATACTTTGCATTGATTTTTGTGCTAGCCTTATAATAAGAGTGCCTTCTGTAATTTTTTTTTTCTCTGTAGTCAAAATACAGAAAATGGGCTTCATGTCCAAATGCAGAGGGAACAAAGAGTGGTCAGGTTTTTATACAGAGTCACCAAAATCATGTGGTGATCTACTTAGTTTATTTTGAAAACGTTTAAGCAATGCAGTTGTCATTTTTTCTAATAATTAGACTACAGCAGTCAAGTCCTGAAAATAAACAATTGCTACAAAAAATTAAACCCTTAACACTTTGAAAAAAATGCAGATTCTGTTTAATGAATTAGTAGAACTAAAAGCTGAGCTTAGTAAACTGACTTTGTTAATAATGTGAAAGTAAGTCTAGTAACACAATAGCTGTAAAAATCTTGCTCAAGTTTTGGAATTGCTAGGGATCAGGCAACCTACTTATTTTTAAGTCAAACACCTTATCAATACAGACATTTAAGCAACTGCTATAAATGAGTGATCAAATGATTATTAAAATCCCATTTCATGGCTCCTCCTCCAATGCCAGCAGGACACTCATAAAAGTTTAAATTGGTTTGCAAATTGAAAACCATTTTCAACATGCTCTACAAGAGGATTTTTGCTAAGTTAGGCTGAACAAACAATCAAAACAGATGCATGAGAGTAAATTTAAATTTATTTTTTGTTTGACTATATATGAAAATTCTTCCCTTGAGTATCTGTCATCAGGCATGGTAGATTTTTCCACTGTGCTACAGTATCTTTGTTCAATAATTTTTTTCAATAATTTTGTTAAGTTCTTCAAGTTCGGTATACACCACTACTCGAGTGAGTTGTAGCACACATTATCTTTAAGGATTCACTAAAGCACTGCTGCAAATTTACAAGGTGAATTTGAGTATCCATAATGTAAATTGAAGAACTTGGTATATCTTGTAAATATAAACTTCTACTGATTTTAATTTTCAATTATAAAAGCGTATAGCTCACTTCTCGTATTCAGTAAAAATACTAGGATAAATGGTGATTTGGGCAGAAATAAATACACGATGCAGCTCTACAATTCTTGAGGAAGACAATTTTAACATTTTTGTTCCTTAGTTGTTTTCTAAGCATAATTGTTTCACTTCCTCCCCACACCCCCCATAAGCATGCACTGGCACTTCACCTCTCCTGGGCTAACACTTGAAACATGCAGTACATGAACACTGTCTTTCTTCCAGGATGGAAAGTACTTTAAAATTTCATTCCAATTAAGCTCCCTTGTACCAGATCCCCTTTACAACGATTACTGAAAACCAAATATGTAATGGGACTACAGGGTTCTACTCAATGCCACAAAAGCTATATAATCACTATAAAGTCATACTGATTGGACAGCAAACCCTCGTATTAAAACAAAATTACAAGCCAGATCCTTACACAAGCAAAAGCCTGAAACATATACTCAGGGGTATTCCCTCTGACTTCACTGCTCAAGTAAGGATACAGAGGGCAGGATTTGGCCCCATTAACTTTATGAAGTAAAAAAAAAGCCCCAAAAACCCACGAACAAAAAGTAAAAGGACTTTAACATACTAAATACTAATTTTGAAAAGCACTTTAAATTATTTATGACCAATTCTATTAATTTGAAGGGAAGAGCCTGACACAGGGACAAACTCATTTTTTAGAACCAGATATACATCCTCACTTCAATTCAGGTCAAAACTCAAACCATGCAATTATATACCAGACCCACAGCAGTAAAGCGTGGGAAGGCTCATCTTTCTGTTTACATTCTGATATAATACACTTGAGAGACACCAGACAGGAATAGAAGACAAAGGGAGGAGTATGACCACTGAAGTTTAACTTCCTTAATAGTCTGTGTTTAGAATGCTGTAAATCAAGTATGAGCAACATATTTGATTTGGATATTTAGAGGTCCGGCAATAGTTTTCTTTAGAGAAAGTATAAATCCATTTGTTTCTCTCTTTTCTTGAAAAGCAAATGTTCTTCATTGGGGTACAGAATGGCTCAGATGCAACAGAAGAGAAATGTCATGACTTGCCAGTTAAAATTGGTATCTGGGAGTGTCCAAGACAAGGGTCAAAGCAACACATAATACCCCAATAATGTAGCTAGTAATGCCCCCAAAAGATAGTACTTTTTTTTTTTTTTTTAAGTCAGCCTTTATTACAAGGCATGAGAATTCTAAGGCAAATTGTTCATCATGGCAGAACATCAAATTAAAGTGTCAAGACAGAAATGAGCAGAATATGGAGAGCACATTTGTTATCTGTAGCAAGAAGTTAGTTTACTATGCCACAGCACCTAATTTATAATTCTCATCCCTAGCCAAATATTATCTTAAAATAGACTAAGATGCTTGAGATCAAAACCATTTCCTTATGTGTTTGTACGCTGAATAGTGCAATATGGCTGGATCCTAACAGAATAGCCTCTAGAGGGACTCCACAGTACATAATAAAAAGGAACAAAATTAACACCATTGTAGGCTCTGCTTCCTTCTCCACATTACATTAGAAGATTAGATTTAAATTAGATCTCTATGAATGTTTGGATACATTTCAACACTTTTTAAAAGAAAAAAATTTTCAAAATTAGATGCTGGTAAGTTATTGAACAGCAATTAAACAAAGAGTGCCCTTTGGGCTATCTGTAATTTCTCCTAGTTTTCAGTCTGATGTCCACAGTGCTACATGTTGGAAAGCACAAGAAATTTTGCATGAATTTGATCACTCACATAGGCAGTTATACTTCAAAAACAATGTTTTTCGCAAGAATTACCAATGAAATAATGTTTTAGGACACAATTGAATTTGAAATAGGTAATGTTTTGAATAGATTTTTGAGTTTTATTGAAATCTTACATGAACAAGAAATTGGAAATACAATCACATCAAGGAACAAATTGCCACGGCTTTGACGTTTTAAGCCAAACAAATTTTGTAGGGCAGATTTTCAAAAAGGTGTGAAGTTATAACAATTTAAAAACACAGTTAACCTACTTCTAGGAATGCAAAACATACAATCATGTTATTTTCAATACAAGAAAACTTAATTTGTTGTAATTTCTTAAAACTACTAAGACAAAGCACTAGCTTTTACTTTTATGTACAGCATACTCCTATGTAGTCTATCCCAAATCCAAAAAAAAAAAAAAAAAAAGGAAACTGTCCAAAACCAGAGGTTCTGCAAAATCATGATTGTTTTTTTTCTGCTTTTAAACTGCTAAAATGAAGCCTAAAATGATAAAAGCATTGAAACCCCATATGGAGTTCAGGAATTCTGCGAGCCCAGTAATGTCCAAGTGCATTTATGAAAAAAGAAAACTAAGAGACTCGAGTATATACACAATAGAGTGATTCTTCAGCCCAATACAAATGGCAGCCAATCGCTACTGAAGGATGAAACGTTAAGCCAATTTTGTTTTGAAGGATGTAGAGCTATAGCCAATTCTATGTTTCCAATATTCTCAATCCCTCCTCACTTGTCTACTTCCACTGTTGCCCATAAGTATCCTGATAAAATTCCTGGTTGTCATTATTGTAACCATAGTTACCGGCATAGTCACCACCTTGCTGGAGCGGCTGTTGAGCGATGGGTTGGGAGCCCCAGTTCTGCTGGTTGTTGGTCTGACGGCGCTTGGAATCAGGTTGGTTGTACCCATCTGCCTTTCTCTTGCCTCCTACGTTGCCCCCACGGTTGCCCCTGGCTCCACGAGCACCACGTCCTCTCTGCTGCTGTGCAGGACCCCCTCTCCCACCCCTGGCTCCTCTTGGCGGTCCCATGGGTGCCCCCCTCTGTGAATAGCCAGCTCTACCTCTTGGTGGTGGTGCTCCCCGCCCCCTAGGTGGTGGAGGGGCACCTCTCCCACCCCTTCCTCCTCCTCCTCTTCCTCTTATAGCATAGCCATCATCATAGCCGTAATAGGGATCTTCATAGCCACCACGGTAGTCATGATAGTCATAACCATAATAATCATCGTAATAATCTTCATAGCCATAGTAATCTGGGGGATAGCCATATCCACCTCTCCCTCCACGGCCTCTGCCTCTAATAGGAGGTGGCATGCGAGGTGGAGGGTAGTAATAATAGTCTTCGTACCTATTAAGAAAAAGAAACATGCAATTATTTATCTTCAAAAGTGTCCCAAAATAAAATATAAATTTCCCCTTTTTGATTAACAATATAATACATGGAGAAAAGAAAAGTCATTCAGGTTCTTCTAAACCAGCTCACATTTTCCAGCAGAACTTCATTCTGCACTATTACAGCAGTGCAAGAAGGAACACTCACGCAGTGCTTCTGGAGGCTTGTCTGGCAGCCTGACGTTCTTTCCTTTTCTTATCCGGTGGCTTTGCCAACACTATTTCAATTTCTTCCCCTTCTATCTCTTTCCCATTCATTTCATTCATAGCCTGTACAAAAATTAGAAGAGAAACATCTAAAAAATTGTTTCCATTCAAAAGGAAACTATAATTTACTGAAAGAAACCAGATGGTTGTGCTGCTCCAGGCTGAACTATGCCACGTGCTTTATTTCTGTGCTACTTAAACAGAATGTTACATGTTATTCTTTCAAGTCCCATTTTATTCACCAGTTACAGTGAAGCAGCATTTAAAGAAAAAAATACTCTTTATATCATAAGGTAAAATAATGAGATTAAAATATATTGAGCATTACTTAAAAAAAAAGACATAACACCATCACTTTTTATGTTCCTATATGCCCAGAAACGCTTCAGAAATACATTGGCAGAAGTTCTCACTACTCGCACCGACACAAACACTCACTGTACTTGTAAACCAGGTAGAGTGCACGCACACGAGAGAAAAAAAAGTATTTTTGTGTTTGGGCTTCCTAGCCAGCTGAATGTGCTACGTGACTGCCTCTGAGGAAATCAAGTATTTCTGGGGACACGTACTTGGGGGGGGGGAATTACTGAAACTTGGTGATCTCAAAGTGAGGCAAGAATCCTCCAGAAAAGTAATGTGTAATTTGTAATTATCAAGTGCATGCACAAAGATAATTTAATATGCATACACAAAGTATGATTAGGACTACACCTCCCAATTCTTTACCTGAATTTATTGCTTTGCATTTAACATTTCTGTGTATTAATATTTGCATTAACAAAGACTGTACACATCTGTAGAGCTACGTGCCTCAAAAACATTAGAGATCATGGCAATTTACTTCAAAGAAGGTATGAAAATAAGTAGACACTGGAATCAATGAGCGAATTCCATGCACTAATATCATAATAATGCTTTCTTTAAAAAAAAAAAAAAAAAACAAAAAAAAAACCACACACAAACAACACATCCAAACACAAAAATATCTCACAAATTTCACACACCAATTTAGTGGCCATAAATCAGTCATGTGGGGCAGATGGGGTAGTATTCCGCTTGTTTCAGAGAAAATGAAGGTTAGAGGTGCTCTGCTGTACTGCATTTCATAAATCTTTTCTCATCTGCTACAAGTTTTCAGTTGCTCAAATCTAACAGAGCATTTAGAAGCAAAGTCTACTGGGAAAGGACCGGAGAGTGTCTAAAGACATACTACAATAAAACACGTCAGGAGGTACTGCTGATTTACCCTTTCTGTTAACAATCTCTTATCCTCTCTTGGACATGGTCTAAACCTATCCAAACTGACTTCAGCTTCGTTAAATACGTGTGACATTTATCCTAAAGTCAAACGCAGGAATATTCTAGACCCTGTTTTGGTGGGTAGGAAAACTGTAAGCAATTAAATGGTTGTAAAATGATTAATAAAGTTGAGTAAAGAGCCTTTGAATGGTCTATGTAGCCACATAGAATATACTTGCTCAGGACTCCCAGGTGCAAAACACTTCCTCCCCTCCTTCCCCAATAAACTATGGATTTAAGAAAAACAGATGGAGTAATTTCTACAGAATTCAATCCACTGAAGTGCAAACAGCAGAGATTAATTACCTTCTCAACTGCTCTTAGATACAAGGGAAAACACCTTTGAAGCTTACAATAATGACTCCTGATGTTTAAGAAGTCATTTAGAAGAAACCCTCAAGGGAGCTTGTAGAGTTAAAAATAGGTAATGTATTAATGGCATTGCTAGTGCCATTCTTCTCCCCTTTGCATTTTTTTAATTACCTTGCAATTCCTATTCAATACTTTTGTCACTCCAAAACTACACACAGCCTTTAAATAGGGGGCTTTGAGAGACAACTGATACCTTCTGTCAGTGTTTCCTCAGAAAAATTGTCTAGGTTGATTTTTATTTTTCCTCTTCTCTAGACTCTCCTGCATTGGTCTATACCTCTTTTCCAGTCTACTCGTTAACTTGCTACAGTTTTGTCCTTTGCAAGTTTCACATCCTCCTAGCTACTGAAATCACAGGAACAAAATTATTAGTGTTAAAATTCTCACAATGGGAACCTTACTTAATGGGCTCTACAAATTGTCTTATTTAGATATTTACTGTAAAGAAATTTCTTAAAACCATTTGTACAAAATAAACTGCTCACATCAATTTAGCTAGAAAAGAATAATCGACCTACCTTCACTGCTGCACCTCTGTCCTCAAAATGAACAAAAGCATAATCCTTCAACTTCTTTACTCTTTCCAGCTTTCCAAATTCAGAAAAGGATTTCTCAAGAATTTCTTCTGTCACAGTAGTGGCCAAGTTTCTTACAAATAAAACTTTCACCTGATGAAAAAAATTGAGAATGAAAGCCATTATCTAAGTCAAACTTCAAAGGAAATGAACATAAACTAGTAAGATGTTATTCCCTTCTCAGCATTAAGAAATGTTGGGTAAACTTACAAATTCAGTACCTGTTTTAAAAAAAAAAAAAAAAAAAAAAAGCCTTGTAGTTACCTGCATGAAGTTTCTACAACTTCTCTGCTTCCAGAGTTCCCTTCCATGATCAGAAGGATATCCAACTTTGATTTTCTGCTTCTGGGATGCTACAAATCCCAGTAAAATTTCAGTAATAGACTTCAAGAGCAGCAAAGAGTTATCCCAAAACGCAGGGATAAAGAGCATGTCATTCCCTATACCGAACTTCACCTTCATCTCTCTCTGGAAAATAGTTTTACAAAATACTCACCTTGCATTTATTACCACCAGAAGCAGATAATGACCAGACTGATGTGCCAATCCAGTAGTATAACCTTGTACACTACTAGTTTAAACGTGAACAGTCGGTTACAACAGCATGTTCCTAACATATTACACAGGCAACTGATTTGCAATGCTCAGACCATGCCCGTTTGTGTGGCTTACTACAAAAATGCCCTCAAAATGCTTTTTGTGCCTCAAAACTAGCACTGCTCAGCTGAAACAAATCTCTGTCACTATGACATAAAGAAACTTCTCCCAAAGCACAAGAGCATCCAGGTAAGTTTATACTTACCTTTGCCATGACTTCTGGATCAGGTTCCTCTACTGGATCAGCCCACTCCACTGTCACAACATTTCCCCAGACTTTTACTTTCCCACTCATCAAGCGGCGGCGAGCTTGTGCTGCTGACTTGTGATCTTCATACTCCAAGAAGCAGAATCCTCGATTCTTCTTTTTATCATCAGGTTGATGATACAAGATTACATCCACCAAACCCTCTGAAAAACAGGTCTTTAGTATTAAGCTTCAAAAGGAAGAAAAAAAATAATAAATCTAGAGTCTACCCAAATGTCCTTACTTGTTTTTTGTAATAAAGAGCCTTTGAATTTAACACCTGAAAGGGGAAAGGAGCACAAGAAAAGCAAAACAAACAACAGATATCCATTCAATTTATCCAGAAACAGGTCACCTATCAGGTGAAACTCTCCAGAAAAAACTTACCTCACAATTAGGCCCTGCAAAACATCAACCTGAACAGTTGACAGTGTAAGTTCCATGTATTTTCTTTCACCATTTTTACAGTTTTTTTTAAAAGCAGTCAGCATTAATACATGGCATCTCCCCACCTCCAGGGGAAGCTGGAAAGAATTTCTTCCACATGTCCCCAAAAGGAGGAGAGAGAACTAAATGAATATTCACCTTCTGTTTTCACCACTTCCCTGAAGTACTTATAAATAGTAATCCTAAAAAAGCAGTAGGTTAAAACTCTCCTACAGTAACAAGCGCAGGCGATCAAGATTTCAATCTCTTATTTAAAGCAGAAGCATCCTTCCAATGTGAGCTGACTTCTTTTCTTCCTACTTGCTGCATATATTGAGGAACAACACTGAAGAACGAGGACAGAAATTAATCTGTTATTAACTTATTTAACTACAATAACATCCCCTCTAAACTGCTTTAGTATTTCCTCCTCCCCATCATTCCTCAACAATAAATTTGGTTTGAAGCTCCACAAAAACTTCTCAGTCGTAAAAGCAGAATCTACTGTAGATCTAGTTACAGAGCCTTCAACAGGAAGCTAGAACAGGTAACAGAATTAGGACCTTCACTTTTTACGAGTTCATTTGTAAACCTGCAACATCATTCATTTAACAATCAGTAACACAGATGCTCTTTAAACTCTACCATAAGATGTATCTGAAATATAAAATTTCTACCAGGAAAAAACTTGGAATCCAACTTGGAAATAGTTTAAGTGATAGCTGAACACATCTGTCAAATAACTAGACCTACAAAACAGAGAGAATGAATGGTAATTTGGGATCAGTGTGACAAACTCATTAAGAAGGTCTTACCTGTGACTTTACTGAACTCTTCCAGTATGTTTTCCTTAGTCTTGTTCTTTGGAATTGACCCAACAAATAACCTGTTGTTTGCCACGGAGATGCATACTCCAAGGTGCTTCCCAGGACGTATTTCATAGTTGTCACACTGAGAAAATAAAAAGCCCTTCAATTGCTTTATCCACAATAATATGGATAAAAAGATCCCCCAAATCATAAAATCAGCTATTTTCTTCATGATCTACTATTTTTATACATAGCATATTTAATTCACATTTTAAGATAATTACTAGAACTGCAGTATTTGGGTCAGCATTCACTTGGAAGAACGTTGCCGAGCTTAGGTTTTCCATACAAACTTCAGAAGTTCTGCTGAATGGAAAGCTACAAAGAAGCTGACGTACAGGGAACAACACCTACAGATACAAATTGTGTGGGGTGAATTCTTTCACCTACTGTTTATCTCAGACTGGAAAGATCTTTCTAGACAATTGGTGACTGCTTTCTGTGCTGGGACTCAATGTCAGTCATTGCTGCTGTTATTAATAAGCAAATGCATAGCATTATAGATACTATGAGTTCTTCTACTTTACTTTGATAGTTTTTAAACACTGAACATATTTGCCGTGAGATACTCAAAAGTCTAAATCAGTGCGTGACCTTGTTCCCCCTGCCCCCACAGCAGGGAGTTTTTTGGACCCTGTAAGTACTAGGGTTCTATAAATTTTTCTGTCAAGTTATAAAACTTCTCATTTAAAAAAAAAAAAAAAATAGCCCTCTGCTCCATGCTTGTACCCACAGTTGGATTACTTAGAATACCAACGCTCCCAATAGGTCTTAAAGGTACAGGAGTTCAATCTTTAAAAAAAAAGTAGTAAGTCAACATAGACATCATCTTTGTTTTAGGCAAGATTTTCAAACACTACCTAAGAGGATGGATGTTTGATCATCAGCCAACTTCTGAAAATCTCATGCAATTCTTTTAAAGCAAGTTTTCAGCCATTTTTACCGTGACTGAGACATAGCCATACAGATGACAGAGCAATACCTTCCGCACATTAAAGAACTAGAACAATGTTAAGGTATCACAGGTTATCAAACAAGATCACTTTAAGGAAGACAAACACATTTCAGAATTTTGCTTCACATACAACAGTGATCTGTAACAAAATAAAACTTTCTGTTCCAGTACCATGAAAATCTGAATCTGCTTTTCAAATTATATCTTATCTTACAAATCCATTTTACCTACAGCCAATCCCATTCCCTCTGGTGTCTGCAGAAACAAGCAGAAGGCTCACCTGGTGTAGAGAAACCAAGACTTCAAATATTAAAGTTTATTTTCTTTTTTCAGAAGAAACTTAGCAAGGTTTCATTAGCTCAAAATTTAACATGTGTCTGCCCCATTTTCCTTTCCCCCAGTAGTCTGTGGAAAAAATTTCCCCTAAATACAAGGCCGGCTCCATAACTTGATAATGGTAGGGTGGAAGAGGCAGGGGGAAGAGAATCCAGTTACAGGACTTCAGGAATATATTCACACAAATTCACTTATTTGGTGCAATATCCAAGGTATGGAGGTCACTCTTCTGCCAGTGGCACATCACTTGCTACATCTCCTGTCACTTTAGCATCTCCCCTTTCATCTCCCTCAATCAGTAAAAATTTAAAGTAACAACTCTGAGCACCTTTAACTTGATCAAGAAAAGAAAAAAGTTTCAAAACAATTTTTCCTTCATAAGTGACAGTAACTCATATCCACCATCTTCAAACACTGAAACCCAGAAGCAACCAATTGCAAAAACATATTTTGGGCATCTCCTTCAGGAAATGTGCAAGTAGGTTCTAGAAAGGAAAAAACAGCCTAAGCAGGGACATGAGATTCCCAGTCCTGGAAGAGCCTAACATAACAACTGCAACTATTTCTAAATATATGAAAATATTTGAGGAAACAAACACTGGAATATTTAGGGGCAATGACTCCTCCTGAAGCCTTTATAATGCAACAAAATAATTTCTTAAGTTTCTCTAGGTTTTGGTGGAGGTTTTTTCCCCCCAGCTTAACTAGATCATTAGGTTTTTCCCCTCTTCTTCATACAGGTGCAGCTGAATTCTGCAAAAGCAAATGACATAAAGCATTTCACCTGTTTTGGTTCAAAGTACAAGTACTATTTCACAGCCATATCCAAAACCTTCGGAGATACACATTCACCTGCCTAATTCTACTTCCTCCTCTCAGGCAGGGCCAACTGAACCAGGGCCCCAAACAGACTGCTGTCACTCATTTTAACTCTCTAGGGATTGCTCTGCATCTGTTGCCAACCTATCCAGATGCAGGCCAAGTCAGCTTTCCATGTAGTGAGCTGACTGCATGATTGCCACTGGAAAGAACTAAAGGCCACTGTGAACCATAACAAGCACCAAGCCAGAGACCTCCTCCACAGCAGCAGCAAAACAAAGCACCTCTAATTAGCTCTTGATTGTAGGAAGGGTGATAAAGCTTAAACACAGTGAAGCTTAAAGCATATATTTTCCAGCTGTAATCAAATAAGCACTTATGATAACCCAAGTACTCTAGCAGACTGCAGACTATGATCCTAAGAGTAGACCATGATTTGTATATAGTAAATCAAATCAGGAGACAATTTTTAAGAAAGTAGTATTTTGAGTCTGTCAATGGATGCTGTAATGAAACCCTTCAGACTTCATTATCTGAGGAGTACCAACATGTATGCTTGTTTACATCACCTTGTCTAGTCTGAAAATAAGTTACTCACCAATTTGACTGCTTCCTGTGCTGCATCTTTACTACAAAAAGTAATGAAAGCGTAACCTCTGTTTTGACCAGAAAGAGGATCCATCATGAGGCGCAGATCCCAAATTGGACCAGCTTTCTCAAAGAGTGGTACCAATTCATCTTCATACAAGTCTCGGGGAATCTTACCAACAAAAACCTAAAAAGGAAGACGACACTTAAACAAAGCTTTTTCAGAAATCCAAACTTACTTTTAATACTTGAGAGCTCCTGGGAAAGGAAGTACATTGCAGCATAAACCATCACAGGAGAAACACTGTAGCCATCACTGCAGCCTCCACTGCGGCCAACATTATTGTGTGTCCTATGTCCTATTACTAAATCTCCCACTGTTAGTACTAGGTTTTACATATGGAAAACCTGGTTTTGTTATTTATATTGAAGAGGTTGTGAATTTCCACCATTGAACGCTTCTTACCTGGTTATAATTTTGGCAATTAAAAATAAAGACCTTACAGTCTATCTAGTTGGGTATCCTATATTAAAGCAGACCAAGCACTTCCTTGCTCTTGCAGAATTTTCAAATCATTCTGTAGCCCAATCTTCATTAGAAAGCTATAGAGACAAAAAAAAAAAAATCTACAAAAATACTTAAATTGCCCAATGCATATTTTCCACTTTCAATATATACTGTAATCTTATTCCTAGTCTGTATTAATTTCAGCTTCCACCAGCTCAATGTTTTAATATTGTCTGCAAAAACTGGAGTCCTTGGTTTTTTGTTCCTTATATAGCGCAATGACCATAAACTTTGGTAAAGTTTTGTTAAGGAGTTCAATCTCTTCAGCTGAGATGTCCCTAAAAAGCTTCCTTCTCAAATTGTTTAATGGCTGCAGCTCTCTTCTGAATTGCTACTACAAGCAAAACATTTCAACCATCACTTAAGACCAAATTCTATTTATTTTAACCTCAAGTATTTTTTGTAGTAAAAAAAAAGCTAGGAGTCAACCTTTTCCATCCAGGCAATGCTTTGTCATAGGGATATCTGGTACTGAAGGCTTAGCAGATAATTCCAAAACTAAAGATGCTCAGAATGCCCATGTAAACATCGATATGAACAAACCTGTGAGGAGTGCATGACAACTCTGATTTAAAAAATGTGGAACGCAAATTATTTTCCTCTAAGGGAATACTAGAGCCTTGAAATGTTTCTTTATGTTACACAGATATTCCTGAATTTCAGTTCCCAGAACATTTCTTTCACTTAGCTTAGCTTCCCTTGGTTTAGTGTGAATGCCAACTGACCATGATTTATTTGCTATTGGGGAAAAAAGGAATGGATTTATCATACTGAGTGAAAATTTAATGGCAGAGCCATGGCTTTCCCCTCATCCCCCTGAAAAGCTTTGAAATCCCTACAGATAGGTATTTCTATTGTCATTACCTAGAACATTTCATTCCAAAACCCATGTACAGCTTTTAAAGACAAAAAAACCTGGTATTATCATAGAAATTCACAAGACAGGAACTCCAAGACTGCTACTAAGACAGTGAAACTGTCAGTTGAACTCTCCACAACCTGTAATTGTTCAAGTCAGTCAAACGTAAAAAGTTTACATTAATTTTTTTGTTTCAGATGCCACTGTTTCCAGCAGAAACTGAAGGTGACACACCAGAACAGAAGACCTGAGACAAAACCCTAATCCAAAAAACAAAGTCTACTTTTCCTGCTATTTACCAAAGATTTACCATCCTGAAAGCTTCTGTCTCCTCCTTTCTTTCCAGTCTCTTCGGCTCACTCTCCACAAACTTTAGACCACCCACAACTCCACAAGACTGCTACTACAGTTCAGGTAATACACTCAAGGAGCTAGTATGAGAAACAGAATTAAGGATTTAATTTGAATACATTCATATCTGACCTATATTCTAGAGTAACTTCCATCTATATCGGAAGGACTGGATAACTCTGTGGGAGTAATTCACATCTCAGTGAATTTGCTCTGAGCCTGTAAACTTAGTATGTTAATGAACTACAAGATCAATACTAGACATAACAAACACCAGGTGAACATCTTGCAAGGGTCAGAAGAAACATGTGCAATAACTTTTTTTAGATACGTTGATAAGCTCGAATAAAGTTGCTGAAATACCAAAGAATGTAAAAAACAGATGTCTTGTTTTAATTTTTTACTTCCACAACAAGAGTACTGTGGAAAAACTGGAAACCAGCATTATCACAGAATGGTAGGGGGTAGAATGGACCCCTGAAGATCATCTAGTCCAACCTCCCCACTAAAGCAAGATCAGTGAAACAATATGAGATCTTGTCTAGGTAGGATGCAACTGCATCACTTCTAGGCCTTTGTTGGAATTACTGACCATTAGACTTACTTTTTCCACATTTGCGTCCTAAAGGACCTATACAAAGTACTGTATTTTACTTCTTCCTTATTACTGTTGTAGAAGATCAATTATGAAAAGTCTTAACTAGGAAAAATTCAAATTCAGTTTCATGAACAACTTTACAGAGGGGTGCAATCTACTTCTGCACTCTAGATGATGCGTCCTTTAGTTATTTGAAAACTGAGCCTCTTCTGTTGTCATCGCAATCTTATAGAAGCGTACTGCAGCACAGCAAGAGCTTCTTTTAATAGCACTTTGCATGTGCTTTTAATTACGTGTTAATTAAATGTAGGCCGCATGACTGCTTCACCTCATCCAAATCTACAATCTTCATTTAAAAAAAAAAATGGAAGTAGAAAAAAATTCTGGCACAGTGCAGAAACCTTTGAACCCCCCCAGTTCTTCCAGTGCAAAAGCAACATTCCATTTGTGTACTAAATCCAGCGTGAGCTTTGTCTAGTTCAACTCCTGCTGAGTTCATTATACCATTGCTTCTTAAGTTAGAGTTATTACAGTATCTGATTCTTCCCATTCAATTTGTTACAGACAAAAGCAGTTTAAATTGCCCCAACATCTCTGGTAACAACATTCTCCAGATTGCGGGTTAGCCTCACAACCCTTCTCTGCCTTTTTGTTACAAATTCTGACCATGTACCCAGAGATGAGCAGATGCAATACCAACTTAACATTCACAGAGCTGAAAGTAATTTTGCATTTTTTGATAACAACATTCAAAGATTATGTTTATCATATACTTATCCAATAAATTTCAGCTCTGAAAAGGACGTGTAGCAATTCCTCCATGTTATACAGTCTAAACTGTTATATAGGTATCTAAGCTTGCACATTGTGGGCAAATAATGTCTTTACAAAATTTTCAAGTTTTTATTTCACATCACTGAAAAACACTGAAATAGAAGTCTCTCAAAACTTTTAGGAGTAGAACTTACTTTATCTGGATACTCCCTCAATAAAACTAAAACCAATTCAGCAATCAGTACAGACTTAAGTCAATTACTGTCTTCATGCTAGCTGCACTGCTAAGTTTGAAAAGTGCTTTCCCCCTATCCCTATTATAGTGGGGTAAAGGGCTGGTGTTTTACAGTTGAAGAACAGGTAAATCATGTCTTAAATGGTATTACATTCATTTACACCAAATGTAAAGGATGGAAATCAAGTACCACATCAACCACCTCCTTAATATTTTGGTGTAACATTAGTCTGGGTAGGCCATATTCATGCCAGTCGTTTTGTTGGTTGGTTGGGGTTTTTTTACCCTCCTCTGGGGTTTTTTTCCCCCCCCCTAAAGGAAAAAAAAAAAAAAAAAAGGAAAAATAAATATATATATAAAATAATGATCCTTCAGTTTTCCCAAATTTAACAACTAAAAGATCTTCAGTCTGCTGAGATTTCGTCTTTGCATGAAAGCTTCATCATCCCTGACTAGTTGTGGACTTATGACTAAAATTCCTGTTGTTCCATATACACTTAAACTCCTCCTTGCTGTGACTGAATTTAATGAAATATTTATAACATTTTCTTTCCTTGTCTTGTCTGCACTTTACTTAAAAAGTTACTGAAATTGATACGTAGATGTTACTACTGTCTATGCGTCCTCCAATGCTGCTGAACAATTGGTTTATTTCAAACCACAATAAGATAACTTAAAGTAGTTTTGTCTAAAAAGAAAAAAGTAATTTAAGAATACAAAAAGAAAATTTGCAGCATTTCTTGCATATACACTTTAGTAAAATGATGATACAATTAGCATAGAGCAAGCATACCTAGACAAAGCCTGATAAGCTATGCAAATTATCAGTTACTATCTTTCAGTTCAAGGACCCATTCTAATTATTTCTCCCTGCCAAGGAATTTATTTTTCATCATGGAATATGAATATTCCCTTTAGAAATCATCCCTACTGTGAGGCTTCTAAGCATCTTCCAAGCATCTTCTGTATACACAAAAGCTTCAGCATCTCAAAGGATGCAGAAATAATCTATAAACTGATAGACATTCAAGAAGTTGACCATTTTCTTAAATCTAATCTGGTGTCTTATAGAAGATCTCCAAAAGAACTCCTGTGTCAAAGACTAGTCACAAGAGCGTGACTGAGAGTATTCAAAGTGGTTAGAATAAACTACAGAACAACTTGCTAGGGACCAAAGCCTTGCAGAATAGGTAAGCGAGGAAATACACGGTTCAAGCATTTTCATAACCAAACTGAAGTTTGCTGATAGCTTACTAGCAAAATGCACGGGTTCAGTCATGACCTTGAATTTTCTGATGTGCTTACTGACTAGACTTCGCCCTTTGGAGGGGAGTGGGGGGCTGAATCTTTAAAACCCGACCACCTTTAAGAACAGCTGGTGTAACAGGAGGTAAGAAAAAGCAGAGGAAAAGAGATCTTAGAAATATTAAGCAAAACAAAGAAGCACTGTACAAGCCCCTTGAGGATAAGCAGTTGTCAATGTTTGCAGATGCAAATGACAAAGCCAGTGTAAGAAGAGAAGGAAACACCCAAATAATTGCTTCCATTCTCATCCAATAAACTCTCCCATAAATGTCTCCAAGTATCAACATCATGTGACCTCATTATAAGCAAAATTATTTACATTGGAGCAGCAAGTCCTTAAATAAAATGAATACTCAAGTTTAATATCAAATCCTATTGCAATTATTTTCTCCTCCAAGCTTCCGCACAGCTGTAACTACTTTGTCTTTATTACAGAATCACATTCCAAAAAGATCCAGCTGCTCTTAAAGATCACCCACTTGAAAAAATACATTGGACTGCTGCTCCCACATAATCCTTGCAGCAAAGCGTTCATGGTGACAATTTGTGAATGTTCAACATGCTGAGCATCCCTAAGATTATTTATCAATATTTTAGTTTTACTGCACAATGTTCAAGTGCATATTGAAAGAGAGTTAAAGCTACAGGCTTTGGGCAACCTGGTCTAATGGAGGGTCCCCCTGCCCAGGGTCAGGGGGGTTGGAACTAGATGGTCTTTGAGGTCCCTTCCAACCCAAACCAGTCTATGATTCTACAGTTAACATGTTATGGATTCCACTTTATGTTTTAAAAAGACAAATTAGTTGGTGTACAAATATTTACAGTAGAAAGATCTGATACATCTCAGGGGAAACTATCTAGTATGTATCTTCTCGAAATATGTAACAGTACTGGAGTATCCTTAAAAAACAGAAGTTTGCCATTACTGACATCAGTGACAGCTCTGGCATCAACATATCTGAGCTGGCACAAGCTACAAGAGCTTCAGAATTATTTAAACAAAGTTTCGAACACAAAAGATTTACTGCCACAATCCAAAGGGATACATCTTGTGTTTTTTCATACCTTTACCCACAATATTAGAAAAGAGGCATTTACACTCCTATATAACCAGAACTGTTGAGGACAAAAGAGAAGCAGTTCTCAAAAGCCTAAGGGAAAAAAACCAAACCAAACAAAAAACCACCCACCTCATTCTGTGAAAAAAAAGTGCCACAATAATCCCAAGTCACTTGTGTTCAAACATGCTCTGCCTAGTCTACCAAATCACAAGATCATGTTTAAGTTGTTGATTACTATGCCTTAGAGCTCAACAGCAAGAGCTAAAGACTAAACTTAATAAAGCATACACCAGTTTCAGCAAGGTGTTCAGCAGCTCAACCACTCAAACCAAGCAGCATGTCTAAAGGAGTAATCAGTCTTTAAATCCTACAAAATGCCAGCAATAAATTGATTTGGTAAAGGTATGGTTTCTATAACTAGTTGGCTGGGTTTGGCTACAGCCTCTAATGCTGATTCATGGCAGAAGCATTTATGTTCTTATCTTAAGGGAGTTTCCACAAGTTACCTGTTCTAACAAGCTTCAGAAAACTTAAAAGTATAAAAACCATACTCTTAATATTATTAAAGCACAGCCAACTCTATGGCTTTCCCGTGACTTTCTAACCATTACCGACAGGATAAAATACTTAAGATCAGTTGAGTGTTTTCAGCCACGAATAGAATAGTTCAGCTGGAAGGGACCTACAATGACCATCTAGTCCAACTGCCTGACCAGAAGTTAAAGCATGTTATTAAGGGCATTGTCCAAATGCCTCTCAAACACTGACAGGTTTGGGGCATCGACCACCTCTCTAGGAAGCCTGTTCCAGGGTTTGACCACCCTCCTGGTAAAGAAATGCTTCCTAATGTCAATGAGGCATGGGGCAATTAAGTAACACTTTATGCCCTCACATAACCACCCTGGCAACACCGCTAAGTTGTTTATCAACTTCTAAGCCACCTTTCTGAATGCAGAAATGCAAAAATTTACAGAAAGAAACAAGCTACATGGACTCTTTCAGTGTGGTAGTTTCACTATCAGTCCATGCAAGTGTCAAGGATGTTTTCATATAGATTGAAAGAAAAGCAAATAAACAATTCCTTAATTATTACTAATCTCAGTTGTTCTCTTCAAAACTTTGTATGTACCTTTATACAATAGCCAAGTCTTTTTCACTTACAGCACATTGCATAAAATAACCCTTGCTACTGTCACTTAAATTCCATTTATGTTACAAACAGTCAAATACCTTTGAGTCACACTTTTACCTCCCTACATAGCTAATAACCACATTGTTCACTTTTTAAGCAATGGACCATAAAGCTTTAGGGTGAAACCTAAATTTTGACAATTTAATGATCTATTTTACATTTTAAGAAATTTTACATAGCATCTCCTAGCATATTCCACCTGCTTTCCCCCCCAACCTATTATCCTGTCTTTTGCAGAATACTGAAGAGTAAGAAAGACTGATTAAGACACACAAACATCGAAGAACACTTTCCTCCACAATACTTTAAACTTTCACTTGTAATATTGTTTATTTTCAAGTACTCCTTATTTATCAGTTTGCACAAACATACAAAATAACAATCAGATTAGTCTGTATATACTAACCTCTGTTCCAATACCAGGCTGAACACCAGAATATACAGTATCTGGAGGAGGGCCCCCATATTTCCTCTGTCCTGTAGTTACATCCAAAGTGTAACCAGTCCTCTCTAGCAAAGCCTGAAAAAAATTGTCACATTTGTTATTTGGGGAGAGGATAGTGGGTAAAAGTACAAAGAATAAAAAAACCTGTCCTTAGATAAGCATTTCCTTATCTGCTCCTTGCCACATTTGATAACAAGGCATATACGGATAGACAGAACCTACAGAAAAAAAAACCCTGTTACTTTGGGGGTTTAAAAAAACCACCATCAAACCCAGCAACATTTGTTTTACACTACAAGGCCACTGGAAAGAAATCTTTTTCTTTTCCCTTATTTTCCTTTTTATATGTAATACCACAATAACTCCAGAACACCAGGCAATTCTTTTCACCCACTGTGTACTTAGGTTTTTGCACAACAGAAGACTTTCATAATACTCTAATACCTTGTTGAAATGTCCAATCAGTCTCAAAGTAATGAGTGTGTGAAAGCTTTTATATTAAAAGGACAACTAAGACAATTCTTAAATACATATAATTTTTTCATAAACCTTACATAACACTAAGTGCATGCATTTTAACAATTGTGTAAGCAGGAAGATCTGCATTTCAAATAAGCACTCTCTCTTTTCAATCTCTATCACACATACATTTCTTAAATTCAAGCGTGAATCCAGGTAGTATTGATGCTTATGTACATCCAAAATTACTTCAGTCTGTGTACAGGTACTATATTGGGTAGCACAGAATAATCAGTATTTTCTAAATGTTACCTTAATCTTTGCTTCATCTGGTCCCTTCGTTGATTCCTGTACTTTGCTGCCTTGTTTCTCTCTTTGCCTGTAGGTCTTCATAACTCCACATAAAAATGCACTTTTGTTCTGCAGATACAATTTACAAAATAATTCAATTGTGCATATGAAAAGCCCTGGGAATCCACTGAATCTTACACTTGATACCATGACGTAACTATATCAAGCCCATGCAACAAACAAAGTGTCAAAAGAATCCTTTAGAAAAATCTAACAATTAATTGAACAAACTTGTGAGACTGAAGAAATCATCAGATTCCAGGTAGTATTTTTACCTTATTTTCTCAATAGCACGCTCATTTTTATTATCTGGAAGCTTTTGCTTTGCACTCGAATACCTACACATTTAAGGTAGTTTTTAACAGGCTTGTGATTTGGGTTTGAAATGTTAGAATACAGCAACATCAATGAATTTCTAAATTACAACTCTCCTGCCAACAGCGCCAGAACACTATTTATACTTATGCGCTCACATTCCTGGAGCTCTCACCTTACCTGTACATGCGACAGGTCACTTTCTTTAAACTGCTGTAATACAGAGAGGGCTCCTTCTTCATTAAATTCCCTAAGAGCATCAATTGCTCTTTCATCAAGATCGACATAAGCTACCAACCCTAAAAGTTAAAGATAAAGAAGTTACAGATTTCTATTGAATTTCATACAAACTAAGAACTATGCAGTTTGCTTTAAAGTCAAAAAGTTACGTTCCATAGCAACAGAATTATATATTTAATATAATTACATATTCCTACACAAGTATATGAAAGAACATGAGTACAACAATGAAAAAAGTTAAATTAAAATGTATATACCTAAGCACTAACTGACGTGCAAGATTACACCCCATGTGTAACAGTTTTCTAACATTCAGGAATCCAATCTGCTGCATAAAAGCAGTATTACACACCAGGATTTGAAATAGTGAACTCTGGCTCACTTCTAATAATTTGGATTTTGTTTGTTTGTCTTTTGTTTTAAGTTTCACACTTCCTTCTTTTGAATGGAGCTGCTCTGGAGTAAGCTGACATGTGAACATTACAGGTGTCCTATTGTACGTGAAAAAGGAGCTACCTGATGATCAAATACTTATGAAGCTCTACCCCACAAAATATTAGGAAGTAGAATGGTTTGTTCGCTCTTTCCTCCAACTTGAAAAAGCAAAAATCAGTGGACTTCCTATATGCCTAATTTTATTTTTTTTTTTACTCATTTTGTTGCTCTATGCAGTTCAAGAGCCAGAAATCAAAAAGTATTATTTCGAGCCCTGCTATGTACCCAAAAAGGCTAATGTTAATTTTACAGGTACAGACTCCCCCAAGAAACATTGGACCAGTTCTGAAGCACTTTTTGTGTTTAAGGATCTTTACAGGTTATTTCTTTCCTTTCGTAATGCACTTGCATAAACTGTGGAGCGTGAGAAGTACAGACTAAGATTTGCACTTTTTAAGCTACACAGCAAAATTTAGGACAGATACCAAGAACTCCACACACTCTGCAACAGCTTGATCTTCAAAGTACACAGATTATTTAAATGCTACTTGATTTCAAAAATGCACAGTAGTGCCAAGCCCAAGGACTACATTTCAGAAGTGATCCTGCATATTGAAAGGCACCTGTATCTTTCATATAACACCTCAGCAGATTAAAAATCCCGAAGTTCAACCCCAAATTTAGCTCGGGTGTCAAAAGTAGTTTGCTTCACTGACAAACCCCTGCACAATGCGAACATCTTCAATGGCATTAAGGAAGTGTGAATAAATGTTTTCAGGTTACTCATGCAGTGGAATTATACTAGGTAGTCAGCTTCTGGGCTGAAAAGCTTTCAAATCCCTTGAGAACTCCTCACAACACAACCTAACTGCAACACGTGTTAGAGCCCCACAAGTTCCTCTGCCCAGGCATTTACACCTTGTCTCAAACCATCAAGTGCACATCATTGTGACCCACAGTTAGAAAGTGCATGTCTAAAGCTAGTAAAAGCTGGTAAAGGCTTGATGAAAGCTCACTGTGAACAACTTCCAAAAGACATCATCCACGTGAGCCAGAGTATCATACTGAAGATTGGTCAGGTATGGTTTTTGAACTGCCTTCACTTGATCAGTGGAATTTTGACTCTTTTCAACAAAAACTGTCATATTGCCACCAAGGCATTCAAGATCAGCGCATAGAGCATTTCTACTGCTTCTTGTAAATCTGTTCACAGAACACACTCTAAAGAGAAAAAGGAAGCCTCTGTCTACAGGACAAAATAATAAGGGGGTTACAAAAACAAAATAGAAAAACCTTTGTATATAAAGAAACCTCTCTAGAAGTTGCAAAGACCACTTGCTACCAGCAACGTATTATTCAATTTGCTAGATAGCTCAGTCCTCAACTTTGTTGAAAAGCAGTTAGTGTCAAACTGAACATTTCAGTGTAATAACCAACATGGATTAAACTGTCCACTCAGAACTAGAGAGAACAAAAAATCCACAGGCAGACTCAATTCAAATGTAGTCCCAGGCAAGACAAGCTAGTTGCTTCCGTCACTAAAGTTACCTATCCAGCCTTTGAGTGTTTAAGAATCACTGTGAGGAGTTGACAGTAGAAAAGTAAAAGCAAAATGATGATTCAGATTGAAGGAAAAAAAAAATGTACAGTTTAGTATGCTCAAACATACATCTTTATTTGACAACATCTAAGAAACTAATGCTCTGTGCCCTAAAGCAACTAAGATATCACATACAACACTAAGGATGTGTCAAGAAATTAGTCAATGTCAAACCCAATTTGCCTTTAGGGAATTCAAAGTAGCAAAACATTCAGAGCTACACAGATCAAAAACAATGAATTTTCAAACCTTAATCTATAAAAATTTGAAAATGGTATGCCCTCACTTTCATAACCAGTCAGAAACAAGAAATGCATATTATACCTGTCTGAAATATTTCATCAAGTCTCTCTGCCACCTTCTGTGGGAGGCCTGCCTCTATCAGTGTCTTGTAGTGTTCTGTGTGAGTTACACTGGAAGTATCCATTGGTTCTTCCTCTTCTTTTAACTGTACCGCATTACCATTCACCTGATTAGCCATTTTATTATGCTGCTGGAAAAAATTCAGGAGCTATATTACAATAAGCCAGAAATAACTAGTTTGTAGGACAATGCATGATTTATCTAAACTAATTTGTATACATGCTGCAAATGACCTGTATCAAAAGTTTTATTTAATACTTTTTGGATGCAGCTGGTCTAAGTTTCAAAAGAAAGTACAACCCTTAATACTGTGGAAAATGTACATGGAAGAATTTACATATTTTTTTTAAAAAATGTACTTCATGTACATAACGATGTCTAAACTTTATCTGCTGATTGTCAGTAAGTTAACTGGTTACCATAGCAACTAAAATGTACTGGGATACGATAACATCCTACAACGAAGAATCAGAAGAGCTAGTGCTATTTTCATTTCCCATTCCTCTACTTTTAAAACAATTGTTTAAAATTTAGTGAACACATAACCCTGCAGGGTAGCTTAATGTATAAAAATGTCAATACTTATTTGCTAATTTTCACTTTCTTGGCTTGTTGCCATGTCTTCCTTCAAATCCAACATGCTGCATAAGACTAGCCAAACACTTTCTCATGACACCATCAGAACTTAGTAATGATAAAGAGAGAAAAATTGCACTCTAATGCACATTATAATTTGAAGCTGCAACTGAACTGTTTCCATTCTTTCAGTTTTACATAAAGAGGAGCTCTACAAATCACAGCAACTTTTTGTAATGTATAACTTATTGGTTTAAAAGGAAGCCATGACTGCAGCATCTTCAGTTCTTATATTCATCAAAAGACTTGCTTTCAGAATTAACAAACTGATTCCAAATATGTGCACTGAAAAATGCACAACTATCTTCTCAGACAATTCCAGTGGGCTTTGCCCAATTCATTAAAAACAGTTTCAATTTCTCAATTAGCCAGCCAGCTGATATTCAGTACTCGCAAATAAAAAGGCTGACTAGAGACAATTCAACTACCCAGCAGAGAACATTAGGATGATCACCTGTTAAGTTCAGAAATGAAATGAACTCCGGGCTTTAAAAGATAGGGAAGAAGTTGATGATCAGCAGTGAAATGATAACCAGATAGACATATGCAGCGTGGTCAGAGCAATGCAATTAAGTACTGGAATACAGGTATGAAGATGATTCAAGAACAAGTTTTTTTTTAAAAAAAAAAACCACTGAAGCCTCAAGCTATTTACTATGCTGTAAAATGAGTCTCCAAACATAACCACACCTCTAAACAGTCACTTGTGCACCCATCCCTTCTAGACTATAGCTCATGAACTTTTTGGAAGATATCCTATGAAGATTTGCAAGCTTGAGCAAAGAAAACAAATCATTTTTCTTCTGACAGAAAAGTAGTCTAAAAAAAAGTACTCTAGAAAAGTACTCAGAAAAGTAGTCTAAAAAGTAGTACTAAAGCTGTCTTGACTTGAAGGGCAATTTTAGAGAGATGTAATGCCACCTCACATTGTTTCTCTGTGAGATGCCACTTCTTTATGCAATTAGTGAGGAAAAGAAAGTAAGTTTTTCACAGCTACATAGCACATGTGTGTATATATATATATACACACACACGTTCTGTTATTTAACAGAGAAATTGCTTTCTGACCAATTCAGTTTACTTAAAAACAGCCACAACTATAGCCTAGTTACAGAAGAAGAAAAAAAAAAAATGCTACCTGAAGACTACAATAATGCTTACCTATCATTACAAGTATTAACTGAACTCTGAAAACACTAACTGAACGTGATGTTTCTATACATTACAAAAATCATGGAAAACAAAAATCAACTAGATCTCTCCTTGCTAGATAGCCTCTGTGAGATCTCAAATTTGACAAAGGGCAGGGCAGAGGGGGTTTAGTTAAACTAAAAATGCTTTCGGTACAGTATCATCCTAAATCCCTCTTGTCAAAAATTCTAAGATGGTATACACAAAAAAGATATACAGAGGGTTTGGGGGTTTAGGGTTTTTTCCCCACCTTTTTACTGCCTTATAAAATCAGTTACTTACACATATATTGTCTTCTCTATACACACAACAAAAACCCCCAACCACCGAGAACTGAGAGGCTAAGTCAATACATAAATATAGAAAAGTTATTTGAAACAATTACAAGTACCTTCTAAACTTCAGTGGCTTATGGTGATGCTCCCGTACATTATTTTTTGTGAACCCAGAATAGCTTTCAAGTGTCACATACCCAGAGGTTTGGCACTGTTCTCAGTGTTACCTATAACTGAACAAAATGTTGACAGCTATCCTGTGTCCAGGCAGAAACACCTCATCTGCAGTTCAGTAACTCAAACTTCCGACAGGCAAGATTTGCAGCCTAACAACATGGAAAAGGTATCTACCTTCGTAACAAACACACACCAGCATGTGGAGTAATATCCAACCACTAAGTATCAGATTACTACGTAGCACCACAACTGATCAAATGCTTTTTTAAGTATGCTTTTAGACAATGTAAATTAAGTCTTTGCATTTTAATTCACTAGCTGTATAGTTAATTTTCGCTTAAGAATTAGCATCCTCATTAAGTACTTAAGTCAAATGCAATGCATGCTCACCAGCCAGAAAAGTTCAGCTTGGATGTTCAAATTTTAGCTATTTCCTGCCACACAAACTTAATTTAAAAGACTTTCTCGAAGAAATCTATGCTGGAAAATTTTGGAAGTGACATAGCTGTCAAAATATTCAGGTCCCAACAGCATCCAGAAGAATATATTTCTTTTCACAGTTACAGTAATAGGTTCCCTACTGGCTGTGCGAGCTTGGCCTGAAATCTGAGATGAGACTGACTTTTCTTCCTGAATAATCACCAACAAGCAAAATTACATCTCTTACAATATCGAATCCGCACTCTGAGTTCAGCAGAAATATGTGGGTGAAAGTCATAGCTGAAAAAAAATTGTTTAGCTCTACCTCTAGATAACATAAGCTAGATGTAGCTATCAAGAAAAATATTGTTTAACTGAATTTTATCAGTAAGGAAAACACACAGTGATTTTATTAACATTTTTGTTCTCTTCTAAAAAAATACTAAAAGCATATAAAAGAAAGAGGAGCAGTATCTATGTTTGCATGTACAGCGTGTCCATGTGACTCGGTCTGTGACAGGCCAGGCCACACAGATGAGCACCCGCGTTGCACTCAAGAGTTTTTCATCTGCCTTAAGTAACTCAAATATTAAGAGAAGAGGGAGACTGGTTGAATTGAAAAGATTATAAGTAAAGGATTATGCATATTAGTATGTGTGGTATATGTATTTGTTTTTAAAACATGCAGAAATGGATGAATTTAAAATAGCATACACAAAAAAGTGCTTACCAAATGAACAGCAGTAATAAATACACACTGGGGGCAACTTTACATAGGCGAGGAGAATTTCCACTGGTGCCTGAAAGGTTACCTAGCATCACCACCTCAGAATTATGTGTGCGGGGAAGGGGAGGATTGTCTTGGTTCAAACTTCACACTGTTGTTGCCAACAATGTTTTTCTGAAGACCATGAATACTTAATGACATAAAACATGTTTTTAGCCATCCACTTTCACCTAGAATTCCTACATCTCAAAAGATTAATTTGCCAAGTGATTAGTCCCTTTTTTATACTCTATTCATATGACAAGTAGGAGGTTAAAACTACAGGTGCTTCTAAATCACCCAGAAACAACCTTCATTTTCATGTTTAATAACTCAAATGACTCAAATAGTAACTTTGGTAGGGAAAAAAAAATTAACACACACCTGAGCCTGATAGCCTATGGCATCTTGAAAACAGAAACTTGATCTCAGCCTCAATCCGACAATCACTGGTTAAACAGCCATGATGTTACTATTCCCTGTATCTTATACCATGCCTCTAACAGAGGTTGCCTCCCACAGACTATCTAAGTATAACTCCATCCAATTAATTATAAATTCACAGTCTAGTTAGCTCAAAACATGCTTAGTAACAGCTTAAATG